TCTGGACAACTGTTTATCTGACATAGTGTGGGATTAGACTTCCAAGATCCTTTCTAACTCTTTTACTCTGTTATTCTGATTTTATTGACAAAAACCTATAGAAAAATCATATGGTAACTTAGATTAGTTTTCTCCGAAGAAGAAGTAATAGGTTATTAAACATGCTATTAACAATAATTCTTAACTGAATATGCTGGTTAGCTCATTTTATATTCCAAATCTTTCTTGCATATTCCAGCCAAATTACAGTAGCAGCATTCATATTTTAATGATGCTTGCATAGGGAATCCTTCCATTCCCTACCATCCAGTTAGAGCTGAAGAAGCTTCTTGGATGAGAAGCAAAACATCTTCAAAGAAAAGTCCAGTTGCCTCGTGAAAAAAGCACTTTGGGGTTTTCTGTTTCTTCTTTCTCTTCTCTCACATCTGGCCAGGGTTCTAGAAAGATAGCTCCTACATTATAGATATTAATTCATTCCTTTCAAATGGACTTCTTTTGACAAGAAACATGAAAGAAACACTCTTTTTATTTTGCAAACGTACTGAGCTAAACTGAGCAAATGTGGTAACAAGAGTGCCCTTCATCATATATAAGTGAACCTCACTGGCTCAGATTAAAGAGTAATGAATATGGTGTTGAAAATCAGATACTTAATTGGCATCTCTAAAATCTTCATACTTAGATAGCCCAGTTCATAGCAAGGAATCTTTCTTATGGATCTCTAATCTCAAACTGAAATTGATTGGTTTTAATTTGTATGTTCTAATTTCTTGCCCTAAGTTTGCTATGACTTGAGTGTCACCTAGGTTTTACCATGATTGTATTAATCCTTATTTTGAAGATTGCAATTTGTTTTCTGAGGACTGTTAGTAATTTTCCACCCCTTTGGGCCCAAGGGTAGGCATGAGATATACCATAATGCTTGCAGAAGATAGTGTTTCATGCATTGGACACAAGACACGGAAGATTGCCTCAATGAACTCGTCTAAGTATGAACAAAGCTGTTCCAAGTATAGGACGTTTTTGAAGCTTCAAAAGGAACCTCCCACTTGAACTTAGGCACAGTTGACAGCCACAGGATGACTTACAAGGTCTGCTTTCATAACCCCATTAGTTGCTAATTGGGCTACTTTTAAATATGACTCAGTGTTCTAATAAAAATTTCAACCCAAGAGTCGAATCAAAATTTACTTCCTCTCCTAGCTTACTTCTCACCTCAAGGAGAGCAATTGATGGGTTACCCCACCAATGTTCTTACACCAGCAATCATGTTTGAGGGGATGAGACAGAAATAGGCCTAGAATAATCTGCAAGGTCCCTTTCTTAACTTACCTCACACAAAGCAAATAAGGAAACCACCACAGACGTCATCAAATATTCACCAGTAATTCAAGGTTATTTGAGGGGCTGCCACAGAGAAGAAGGGGATCAAGCTATTTTCTAAAGCACCCAAAGGCCAGACAAGGAATAATGGATGGAAACTGAACAAGGAGAGATTTAACCTGGAAATAAGGAGGAACTTTCTGACAGTGAGAACAATCAACCAATGGAACAGAAGGTGCCCTTGGAAGTTGTGGGAGCGCCATCATTTGAGACTTTCAAGAAGAGATTAGACTGCCATTTGTCAGAAATGGTGTAGGGTCTCCCACTTGGGCAGGGGGTTGCACTAGATGACCTACAAGGTCCCTTCCAACTCTGATTATCTGTTATCTGTTAAGGTTGCAAATTTTGTGCTAAGATGGCTTTCTTCTAACTTCAGATTTAAACGGAGGCCATTTCAACTGGTTAATACAAGGTTGCCTAAGAGTAAAACAAACAAACAAACCTGATTTATGAACTAAAATAAAACTTAGGCAAAGCATTGCTATGTTAATACAAACTTTCCAGTAAAGACTCATAGCTGAAAACTGTCTAACTTAAGTGTACAACAATACAAAGATTTTGAGACAGTTTGAAACCAACTTACTGAATTTCTCATGATGTCAGTGATGGTGGAGAGCTAAGCTGATTTATTTCTGTCTGCAGTGTAGTTGAAACTACAGTGAAATGATGGGGCTTGTTTATTTATTTATTAAATTTATATGGCTATTCAGTGCACTCACTTAACATCCAGTTAAAAACAAAATGTAATAAGAACAAATATAAAAACACTTCATCTATGCATATATAGAATAGAATAGAATACTTTATTGGCCAAGTGTGATTGGACACCGTTGGTGTAAATACTCTCAGTGTACAAAAAAGATACATTCATCAAGAGTCAAGAATCATAAGTTACAAAACTTAATGATAGTCATAGGGTACAGTAAGCAATCAAATCATACTAGGAAACAGTCAATATAGATCGTAAGGATACAAGCGACAAAGTTACAGCCATACAGTCACAAGTGGGATGGGATGGGTGATAAGGAGTGGTGAGAAGATTAACAGTAATAGTAGTGCAGACTTTATGATAGTTGAACAGTGTTGAGGGAATTATTTGTTTAGCAGAGTGATGGCTTTTGGGGGAAAAACTGTTCCTGTGTCTAGTTGTTCTGCTGTGCAGTGCTCTGTATAGCATCGTTTTGAGGGTAGGAGTTGAAACAGTTTATGTCCAGGATGTGAGGGGTCTGTAAATATTTTCACAGCTCTCTTTTTGACTCGTGTAGTATACAGGTCCTCAACTGAAAGCAGGTTGATAGTAATTGTTTTTTCCATATATTTATACAAATGTCTATGTATGCCTTTAAGCCAGTGTTAATTCCTGGTGACTGCCTTCACTAGTCCTTGCAGTCTTCTTGGCAAGATTTTCGGAAGTGGTTTGCCACTGTGTGCTTCCTAGTGCTGAGAGAGAGTGACTAGCCCAAGGTCACCCAGCTGGCTTTGTGGCTAAGACAGGCTTAGAACCTCATATAGTCCATTTTCAGGGGGCTTATTTAGGTGTATGTGTGTATGTGTGTGAGAGAGTGAGTATATACACATCAGAGGTAGTATTCAGCAGGTTCTGACCAGTTCTGGAGAACCAGTAGCAGAAATTCAGAGTAGTTCGGAAAACCAGCAAATACCGCCTCTGACTGGCCCCGCCCCCATCTATTCTCTGCCTCCCAAGCCCCAGCTGATTGGCTGGGTCTTCTTTTGTTGCCCTGCACAGGAGAACAGAGCTGGAAAGCAGGTTAATGGGGTGGGAAGGGAATGGGATTTTGCAATAACCTTCTCCTGGAGTGGGGTGGGAATGGAGACTTTGCAGTATTCTTCCCTGCCATGCCCACCAAGCCAGGCCCACAGAACTGGTAGTAAAAAAATTTTTGAATCCCACCACTGATACACATACTCCTAAATAAGCCCCCTGAAAACTGGCTCACCTAACATCCTGCCTGAGGTAAACACCAAGTCTTCAGCACTATATGAAATGTCAGAAGAGTTGGAGCTGTCTAGATGTCTGTTGCAATGGCAGAAAAAGCATCTCCCCAGACCATAAATAACCTTATGTTATTTAATAGACAGGAGATGGAGCATGCCTACTCTATCAGAACTTGTTGGGCAGGCCAAAATAATTGGACATAGATGACCTACCATCTAATAGCCAGCACCTTGAATCTGGCTCTATGCTATGAAGGACTTTGTAGGTAATAGCCAGCACCTTGAATTGCATCTAGTGTAGCTTCCAAAGTAGTAGTGCTCTCAAGGTATGTCCCTCAATATTTGTGTTATCTGGTTTAGGAGGCAACTTCAGCTTCGGAGTAGTCTTCAGAGGTAGCTCTATTGTACAGCATGTCATAATCCAGGCAAGAGACATGAGAAACTATAAGCAGGGCCTCCCGATCCAGGAATGTACACAGTTGGCCAAAGATGGAATTGTATAAAAGATCTAGCCGTGTTTAACACCTGCTCTATGAGCAGGAGCCGAAAGTCTAGGGGCAACCCAGGCTGCATACCCGCTCCATGGGATTGTGGTTTCTATTCCATGCAGGATTAATTGCAGGAAATAAATCAAACCTGGGAATCCTTAAACCCTGCCGCCCAGCCACTTGATTTTAATAAGTTTGAACCTAGTCCTGTTCTTCTTCATCCACACTTATCATGTCCAATTTTTCAACTTTCAAACATTAGGGATGCTCAAAAATTGTGACATGCCTTGGGGATTGTAAAGACATTTTGGTTACTTTAATGTAATTCAGATGCGCTTGGTAAGTAACTAAATACTGTAAATATCATACCTTCTTAACATTTTGTTTGTTCCCTACATCATGAGAAAAAAATATCTCGAGAGCCACACAGCGCAAGGGTTAAAGAGTTACTTTTTTTTGTTAATGAGAACTTAATTGTTCCACTCTCAACAGTTACTGTTACATAAATGCACATTACTGATCAGATCATCCCTTTCCAATTTGAGAAATTACTTTGCTGTATCAAGTCCAAGGAAGACACTAGAGAAACACATGCTGTCATAAATTTGTTAAAAGTTTCAGATTAGAAAAGCATAGAAAAACATTTCTGAACAAAAAAAAATCTCGCTTCCAACTCATCTGTAGGGAACATGAAACTTAGCCATCTCAGATTCCTGTTAATAAATCCCATGAAAGAAAAACGAAACATTATTCATTGGCTGCATTCCTTCTTTATGTTAATCGGGATGACTTTACATATCCCCTCCCAGAGTCCTGCCTCTCTTAAGTGCCTCTCCAGTGTGAACTGTCAGGAAAGCAGCTTTCTTTCACAGAAGCTCCTACAGGTTTTTCTTTCTGGTCCTGGGACATGCAATTTTTGTGCGGTTTCAATTCAGAAGAAACTGCTTTGGGCTTCTAGAAAAAAAATTGTGGCAGGACTAAATACGAAGAGGAGTAAAGTTACATTTGCCAGAACGTCTTTGTAAATGCTGTTGTTGCTCACGAAGAGTCTGCAAAGAGGAAAAGAAAGAAGTATGAATATTGCAGAATTCTGCGTAATGTTTTGATAGCTCTATGGATCTTGATTATGAGAATCCAGCAAACCACTGCTAGTAAATAATGTGCTTTCGGTTATAAGAGTTTTCTGCACAAGAAGTACCATTTCTTTGTCTCTTAGCTTTGAACATCAAATGAAGGACACACCTCATTTCAAAAAAAGGAGAAGCACATGGACCATGGACCAAACTGGAAAACCCCAAACTGACATCTATGTGTTCCACAGCTTTGGTTGCAACAGACACAAAGAGGAAGGTAAATCCATTGTTTCCTGAAATTAATGTAATTAATTTGTTATTTTAATTGTTATTGAAAGCAAACTTTTTTAAAAAAAAAATCCACAGTGAATTCAGGGTTATTTTACTACTTGAAGCCAATTTCCAGTCCATGTCAGGCTGATTAAATGTCCCTAAAAAGAATCTATGTCTTAGTTTTCCCAAGGCCTCTTGCTGAGTTCATCTTAATCCCTGTTACACTTTTGGGAGAGAAAAAATTCCCAAGAGTAAAATCAATAGAGTTCTTGGGATTTCTTGTAAATCATGGAATCCAACAACAAAATGTATCCTCAATCTTATTTTCATTGATCTGTTTTTCTTGGAAAATACTTTCTGATCAAGTTACAGGTGTTATGACAAATTAGAGATCAAAATCTGCAGGACAGCTGAAGTTTGGTGGAACATTTTGTCATAAGCCTATTTTTTGTACACACAGAACATTGCAAATGCAAGTTGCTAAGATAGGGGCATCACTTGCTAGTATTTGGATGACAATGTCATGGAGAAGACCTATGTATGATTGAAGATGGACTGTAACTATCTGGAAGTTGCTAGGATAGAGAAACCTCTGTTCCCTTGGTTATTTTGTCATAAATTCTGCAATGAAAAATTCACCTGGAATAGAATTTTGTGCTATCCCTGGTCAAGAATTTCATCTGTAAATCAAATAGTAAGTAAAGGCAATTATGCTGGAATACTCACAATAAACTCTCTAGACACAGATGCCCATTACAAACCACAATGATGTCACAAACATAATAACATGTGTTTCCCTGTAATGGACTGCGAGGATGACATTGGAGAACAAGCTGCTGTGTAGGGAACACTCAAACAAGAGAACCAAGAGCTCCCAATAGCTTAAAAATCAGAGGCTGAAAGGTCTGCCCTAATGGATCAGTTAAAGGTGATGGTGGGAAGTTTGTACTTTCAGACTTGAAACATTCTGTTAATGTAGCCTTATAATAAACTAGAATTAGTTCATCAAGTTATATTTCCTGTCTGGTTTACCTGGAAAGCTGACATCAGCTCAAGTACTTTTGTATCCATGTTAAATATAATAGCAACACAGTGACAACATATTCCATGTGCCCCTCCTGGATACCTTCAATGAAAATGATGTTCCAGATGTTCTGAAATTCAATATCAGTTACCTCCATTGGAATGGATAATAGCATACTCCATTAGGAGTCTTCCATTCCATACTGGAATTGCAATCTTGTGCATCTGCAAGGCTCTGTTTTTGATAATTCAATTTCCTAAAGATTGTTCACTAAGAATGTTATTCGCAGGCGTAAAACCCTCCAAAAATAAATATATATATATTGAATTACCCAAAGGGCATCGGGAAACAACAATGATCAGTGTATAATGCTTCATAAACATTGAGAAATCTAACCTCAGAAGTTTGCCACCTAGTGGCATGTATTGAACATTAAAGAAAGACAACGATATTGCCTATGTTTTAAGATGGTTTTCTTTTTGAGTGGAAATATTAAGGTTTTATATAGTGAGTATATATTTATAAAGTGAATTTCAAACACTCAGAGTGGACTCATTGAAATCCCTGGGATTTCATTCAAGTCACAGCATCATTTTAACCATTTCAATAATGTAGACTGAGGTCAGATTCACTCAATTTGCAATGTAATTAGTGGGTGCGGGTGGCACAGTAGGGGAAATTATGACCTCGAATGTAAAAATGGGAGATATCTACTTGTGCTAAAGCAGGAATGTCAAACTCAAGGACTGGGGGCCAGATCCAACCCACAGAGCCACCCTGGAAACAGCAAAGGAACGGCTCACAGTGCCTCTGCCAGCGAAAACAGAGCTCAGGGGGGGGCACATGTGGTCCTCCCAAGCTCTTTTTTCACTGGCAAAGGGTTGCAGGAGGTTATCACAACAGAAAATGAAGCTCTGGAGCCCGTTTTCACTGCCAGAGCACTCAGACAACCACAGGTGCCCCTGAAACAAGTGATGTTGAGCTGGCCATGGGCCCCACGGCCATGCCCACCCCGGCTCCCTGAGGTCAAACACAACCCTGATGTGGCCCTCAATGAAATTGAGTTTGACATCCTTGTGCTAAAGCATACTTTAGCAGAAGAAATGTTGAACATACAGTATGTTATTTTATTTTATTTTATTGATTTGTATTTTTGTTGTGTTTTAGATGCTGCTCTGTTCCAAAATGCCTTTAAGCAGCACCTGACAAAAACTTCTGAATAGTGATAAATAATATATATTACAGTAGTCCCGCTCTCCTCTCAAAATTGAGCAACTGGTTATTGCTAGTTCATGTGGATTATATTACCCAACAGTGTGTGTTCAATTTATTTTTAAATTATATTTACAAAGAATGATGTACAAGTCCAGCCCTGATAGACCAGTGGTGTTTGTGAAAGAGGGCAATATGGCTTACTCAACAAACTATATTTGAGAAAATTCTGACTTAACATGATGCTGAAATAAACCAATGTTGGTAGATTTTGTGAGCGAAGTGGAGCTGAAATGAACAGACTGCTATTTATTGCAGTGAGAAACTAGGAATTGTGTGAGTTTCCTTGAGAATGATAGTTTAATTCTTGATGGCTTCTCCAAAGGTTTGGTGAATGGTGACCACTGAGTCTGTGCTGAGAACAATGTAGGCTCTGACTTGGGACATCTGAAGCCAACCTAGCCATGAACATCTGAGAAGTTGCATTAACCTATTCGAATGATTGTCCTTGGTTGCAGGAAAGATTCATTAAGGTTGTCTATTTATGATTTTGCGCTGGGTTGGAGAACATCATTTTTCATTATTTAAACCTCTTAAATAATTTGCCCATGTCCATATGTTCCAGTAGGAAGAGCTGCTTTCTAAGCAAATAAAGAAACTCAGAAGCAATCATAGAAGATGGAAGCAAATGATTAATGTCAACATCTCCCATATGTTGCAATGTGCAGTTTTAATTCTGGGGAGGTCCACAGAATGCCTCAAACTCAGTTTGGAAGATGTGCTTCAGGACAGATAGAAGTACTCCTTTCAAACTCAGAGATTGCATACTTTTATTTTATTTATTTATTTTGATTTGTCAATCACTTACAGGATAATAGGTATAAGTATATACATAGCTATGAATACATGAAATGGGTACATATAAGAAAAACAAAAATATATGGGTACATATAAGAAAAATAAAAGAAACAATAGGACAGGGACGGTAGGCACGTTGGTGTGCTTATGCATGCCCCACTGCTAACAACCTGATTCATCAGCCACAACTTGTTATATACAGTATATTAACTTATTTGATGCTGCTTCAGGTGGCATTTTTAAACCAAAGAGAGGATTTCATATATTTAAAAAATGGAACAATAGAAAGAAATTTTGCTAATAAAATTACAGTGCCATTTTAAGTCACTTGCCGTATCATTCTAACTTTTTCACACACTGAGGAATTAGAATCTTTTGAATATTATTCTGATACTGAACTGAATATCCTAGAATTGATTTCTACACTTCTAACTGATGGTTAAAAATAATTGGTTAAGAAACTGTTTTCTCCCAACCTGACAAATATATTGGAAGATATATTCCTGGGAGTAATAGCAATTGTTGTTACAGAGTCCATGAGTGTTTTGTCGCTTTGACTATATTTCAGACATTTTGAGATAAAGAGAAATAAAATTCAGAATTTTGCAATGGGGAATCATTTGAAAGAATAGAATATAGAATATTCTTTATTGGCCAGGTGTGATTGGAAACACAAGGAATTTGTCTCCAGTGCATAAGCTCTCATGTACATACAAACAACAACATAATATAATCATAAGATACTTTCTAATTTAAGACTAGGCAGTAGAAAATGTATTTTATATCGGGGGTCAGAAATGCAGCACTTGCATAACATGGGTATCTGTGACACCCCTAAATAACTTTTGGGAATTTTCAACTTTTATAATGGCAAAAATCCTAAGGGACCATCTTTTTCCAAGAATATCTACCTGTGCAATCCAGTCCATCAGACTAGGCATACTGTGGATCCCATCAGCCAAAAAATGTTGGCTATCAAAGACCAGAAGATGGGCCTTCTCTGCTGTAGCCTCTGTTTTGTGGAATCTTCTCCCTTCAGAGATTAGAACAGAAATGCTCGCAACAGAATACCCTATATCACCAAGCTTGAAATTTTGGGGCTTGGACAACCTTGAACTACGCTGCCTATGGATGGACTTAAGCATAGTACACAAAATTATCTGCTACAATGTCCTACCAGCCAATGACTACTTCAGCTTCAAACGTAACAATACAAGAGCACACAACAGATACAAACTCAATGTAAACTGCTCCAAACTTGATTGCAGAAAGTACGACTTCAGCAACAGAGTGATCAATGCCTGGAATGCACTACCTGACTCTGTTGTTACATCCTTTAACCCCCACTCGTTTAATCTTAAATTATCCACTATTGACCTCACCTCATTCCTAAGAGGTCTGTAAGGGGCGTGCATAAGTGCACAATTGTGCCTACCATCCCTATCCCATTGTCCCCATTTATTCATACCTATTTCTTTTATCCTTACTCATGTTTATACTTATGCCTATTATCTTGTAAGCGATTGACAAATTAAATAAGTAAAATCAATAGAATAAAATAACACAAACCCTGTTGGCCTTTCAGAAGACTTCAAAAACTTGACCGTGTACCCTACATCTTGCCTGCGCAAGAGTGACAAAATATCATAAGATTGCTCAGGGTTGTATATGTCAAAATCCTGTCCAATTTGACAATTTGGGGTATTAATATATGAAGAGGTAAGGGATAAATACTTAGGATTTGTTCAAGGTTTTCTCTTGGTATTCAGTGCCTTAAACCTGCCCCAAGTAGAATTCTCTTCATGGTTCTATCTTCTTCTTATTAGCAGCCATTGCAGTCAGTTAAAAGCTGTAAGCATTTTAAATATTTGTGGTCACACTAATTCTTCTTCCCAACAGTGGGAGCAATG